AAAATATTTTAGTTTACAAACGTTTATCTAGCAGCATATGCTATCCCAGGTAATCTCGTATCGATTATATTACGCATGTATTCGTTCATACTACCAATCTATTTTAAATATTTACCCAATATTATCTCGTACAAAACAACCAGAAATGGAAGCGTTAAATCGTAGAATCTTGCACACCATACATAGATGGCATGATGTTATGAACGATGAAATAATCAACCTTTCATCTTATAAATCTATAGAATTACTTACACAAATGCATTTCTCAAAACTATTATCCACAATTATTCGTACTAATCCTTCAATCTTTGCTGATTTTATTCAACATAAACTATAACTATTATTCTTAAGGAAATATTTCTTGAATCTTGTTTTACTGAAGGAAAAGCAAACAATTCTAACAAGAGAAAGAACATCAAATCGTATCCGACACTACTATCGTCTTGTAAACAATCTCTTTTTGACCAAGTTGTTTGGTTTACGTAAGAAAAACGAAAATCAACACCGAGGAACTTTAAAGATATAGATGCGGAACAAAAATTTCTATTATGTTAAATATTCTATACATATTACTATTAAAACTTTTCTTATGGGTGACGACTCAGGGAGATCTAATAGTTGCCATGTTGTGTAAATTTTTTTCTATAATTTGTATTCATTTTAATTGTATTCTCTTTTCACTTGAGTTTCTTTTGCATATAGTGATACGGTATTCTTATTTGGTTGTTTTTTTTGTAAGACTGCAGAGATAATGTTGGTCTAAGTCGGTCTCCCACTACTCCTTATGATACCAATTATTCTGCACTTCTTACGATAAATAAAAGTAATATACTACTACTACCACTAAATAATCTTCCACACAAAAATTACGAAGTAAAGTTTTGCTTTTTTATCAAACGTGATACTTAATGCACGACCCATTAAAATACCCTGAAAAGATTGGATTCTACTGGTATCTTTGACCAAGGTGCCAAATGAACTTGATTCGAATTTGGTTGATTCTTACTCTGAATTGATAAATATATGGTAAAGGCGTATATAGTATTTCAGATTAATTGTTTAAAATAGCCTATAATGCAATCTTCAAGGGTTTACATAGTGTTTAGAACGAAATTTGATTGGAACAGATCTGCATTGTAACCGTATGAGTTTTTATGCGAAAGACGTACAGAATCATGAGTGAAGGGACCACGGCAAACATGTTAAAAGTCACCCTAAAGATGATTTTGTAGCTTCACAAGAACACTTTGTTCTTGGGGTGTTTTATGCGACTACGCGTGTTTCAGAGAAGTCTTTTGGAAAACAATGTGAGGATCAATTTATTAATGAACACTATTCTGTCTCGATATAAGTCGAGGAAAGAAAAATCTCATCAAGCGTGTTTCACACGATTAGATAATGCAAATAACAACGATCAAAAAAATTTCCAGCATTTCACAGTAAAGCTTGTTCACTTCTATTGTAGCCAACTGAGCTCAGTGCATATCTAGACTATAATGCGATCTTTCATTCTCACCGACCTGAATTTTAGAGCTTATTTTGGTCTAACAATATCTCCTAGCTTTAAAGCAAACTTTAAAAATGGGGAAGATGCAAACAGAAATGAAAATTGTAAGCCTCTATTATTTATATTGAAGTTCAAGTTGAGAATATACCGAGAACACGAAGATATTTCTATACTGTCAAATGCGTATTTTTAAGAAAAGTAGCCTGAAAATCTTATTCATTCTAATCTCAAAGCATCTAAATTTTCAGCAGCAACGATAGTTATACCTATGTACACTATGATCAAGTTCAGAGTGCTCTAACAAATCAAGAACGAATCCCATGGGAATTAGCGATCTAGACTAAGGAAGGTCCTTCAATAATGTATAGAGAAGGATGATATCAAATGTGAACGATTTCTAACAATATCGCGATCTTTCATGGATTGGGGAATGGATCTTTTGCAAGTCAAATAGAACTTTCAACAGGTCCATCTCGTCCGATAGCAATTATTGCCGTTGATTTCA